AATTAAAAATCACTGGTCATTAATATCCCTTAATATCAATGGACTCAATTCACCTATAAAAAGACACAGGCTAACAGAATGGACATGAAAACAGGATCCATCCTTCTGCTGCATAGAAGAAACATACCTCAACTTCAAATACAGATACTAACCCAGAGTAAAAGGCTGGGAAAAGAATTTCCAATCAAATGGACTTAAGAAGCAACTGAATGACTTAATGACTGAATGACTTAATGCTCAACTGAATCACCCATGGGTCAAGGAAGAAATAAAGAAAGAAATTAAAGACTTTCTAGAATTTAATGAAAATGAACATACAACATACCCAAACTTGTGGGACACTATGAAAATAGTGCTAAGAGGAAAATTCATAGCACTAAATGCCCACATAAAGAACTTGAAGAAATCTCATACTAGTGACTTAACAGCACACCTAAAAGCTCTAGAACAAAAAGAAGCAAATTCACCCAGAAGGAATAGATGCCAGGAAATAATCAAATTGAGGGTTGAAATCAATAAAATAGAAACAAAGAGAACAATACAAAGTGTCAATGAAAGAAAGAGTTGGTTCTTTGAGAAAATCAACAAAATAGCCAAGCCCTTATCCAAACTAATCAAAAGGCAGAGATAGAACATCCAAATTAACAAAATCAGAAATGAAAAGGGAAATATAACAACAGACAATGAGGAAATCCAGAGAATCATCAGGTCATACTTCAAAAACCTGTACTCTAAAAAATTGGAAAATCTAAAAGAAATGGACAATTTTCTGGATAGGTACCACAAACTAAAATTAAATCAAGACCAGATAAACAATTTAAATAGACAAATAACCCCTAAAGAAATAGAAACAGTCATTAAAAGTCTCCCAACTAAAAAAAGCCCAGGGCCAGATGGTTTCAGTTCAGATTCTACCAGAATTTCAAAGAAGAGCTAATACCAATATTCATCAAATTGTTCCATACAATAGAAACAGAAGGAAAATTACCAAACTCTTTTTGTGAGGCTACAGTTACTCTGATACCCAAACCACACAAAGATGCAACCAAAAAAAAAGAGAATTACAGACCAGTCTCCCTCATGAACACTGATGCAAAAATACTCAATAAAATACTGGCAAACAGAATCCAAGAACACATAAAAAAAAAATTATCCACCATGACCAAGTAGGTTTCATCCCAGAGATGCAAGGATGGTTCAATACATGAAAATCTATCAATGTAATCCATCATATAAACAAACTGAAAGAAAAAAAAAACACATGATCGTCTGATTAAATGCTGAAAAAGTCTTTGACAAAATCCAACACCCCTTCATGATAAAGGTCTTTGAGAGATTAGGAATACAAGGAACATAGCTAAACATAATAAAGGCAATTTATAGCAAGCTGACAGCCAACATCAAATTAAATGGAGAGAAACTCAAAGCAATTACACCAAAATCAGGAACAAGACAAGGCTGTCCACTCTCCCAGTATCTATTTAATATGGTACTTGAAGTCCTAGCGAGAGCAATGAGACAACAAAAGGATATCAAGGGGATACAAATTGGAAAGGAAGAAGTCAAACTTTCATTATTTGCAAATGATATGATAGTATACATAAGTGACCCCAAAAATTCTACCAGGAAACTCCTACAGCTGATAAACACCTTCAATAATGTTGCAGGATACAAGATTAACTCAAAAAAATTAGTAGCTTTCCTATATACAAATGATAAATGTGCTGATAAAGAAATCAAAGAAACATCACCCTCTACAATAGCCACAAATAATATAAAATACCTTGGAGTAAATCTAACTAAGCAAGCGAAAGACCTGTATAATAAGAATTTTAAGTCTCTGAAGAAAAAAAGTTGAAGAAGATATAAAAAATGCAAATATCTCCCATACTTACCATCAAAATCCCGACATAATTCTTACAGACCTGGAAAGAACAATGCTCAACTTCATTTGGAAAAACAAAAAACCCAGGATAGCTCAAACAATCCTGTACAATAAAGCAACTTCTGGAGGCATCACCATCCCTGACCTCAAGTTCCACTATAAAGCTATAGTAATAAAAAAACAAAACAGCTTGGTATTAGCATAAAAATTGACATGTGGACCAGTGGAATCAAATTGAAGACCCTGACATTAATCCATACACCTATGAGCACCTGATTTTTTATAAAGAAGCCAAAACTGTATAATGGAAAAAAGAAAGCATCTTCAACAAATGGTGCTGGCATAACTGGATGTCAACATGTATAAGATTGCAAATAGATCCATATCTATCTCCATGCACAAAACTCAAGTCCAAGTGGATCAAAGACCTTAATATAAATCCAGTTACACTGAACATAATAGAAGAGAAAGCAGGAAGCAGTCTTGAATGCATTGGCACAGGAGACCACTTCTTAAATATAACACCAGTAGCACAGACACTGAGAGCAACAATTAATAAATGGGACCTCCTGAAACTGAAAAGCTTCTGTAAGGCAAAGGACATGGTAAATAAGACAAAACAATAGCATACAGAATGGGAAAATAACTTCACCATCCCCACATCTGACAGAAGGCTGATCTCCAAAATATATAAAGAATTCAAGAAACTAGACATCAAAATACCGAACAATCCAATTAAAAACTGGGCTACAGAGCTAAACAGAGAATCCTCAACAGAAGAATCTCAAATGGCTGAAAAACATTTAAGGAATTGCTCAACATTCATAGTCATCAGAGAAATGCAAATCAAAATGATTCTGAGATACCACCTTACACCTGTCAGAATGGCTAAGATCAAAAACACTGATAACAGCTTATGTTGGAGAGGATGTGGAGCAAGAGGAACACTCCTCCACTGTTGGTGGGAGTGCAAAAGTGTACAGCCACTTTGGAAATCAATCTGGCAGTTTCTCAGAAAATTTTCTCAGAACCTCAAAACCCAGCTATACCACTCTTGGGCATATAACCAAGGAATGCTCAGTCATACCACAAGGACACATGATCAACTATGTTCATAGCAGCATTATTCGTAATAGCCAGAAACTGGAAACAACCTAGATGCCCCTCAACTGAAGAATGTATTAAGAAAATGTGGTACATATACACAATGGAGTACTACTCATCAGGAAAAAAACCAATGACATCATGAAATTTGCAGACAAATGGATAGAACTAGAAAATATCATCCTGAGTGAAGTAACCCAAACTCAGAAGGAAAAACATGGTCTGTACTCATAAGTGGATACTAGACATAAAGCAAAGGATAACCAGACTAAAACCCACAGTTCCAGAGAAGCTAGCTAACAAGGAGGACCCTAAGAGAGACACATGAATGGCCCTGGGAAGGAGAAATAGATGAGATCTCCATGAGTAAAATGGGGATTGAAGGGGCAATGGAGGGTAGGGGATGGGGGATGAGAACATAAGGGAACTGGATGGTCAAGCTGGAACAAGGACGGAGTGAGAAAGCAATGAAGGAGATACCATGACAGAGGGAGACATCATGTGGATAGGGAGAAACTGAGTGCTGGGCAAGTTCCCAGGGATCCATAAGGATGACCCCACCTTAGACTACTAGCAATAGTGGAGAGGGTGCCTGTTACTCTGGTAATCAGATCGGTGAACACCCTAACTTTCATCATAGAGCCTTCATCCAGTAACTGATAGAAGCAGATAGAGAGATTCACGAGCGGGTGCCAGGCCAAGCTCCAGGAGTCCTGTCTGAAGAGAAAGAAGAGGGATTCTATGAGCAAGGGGCATCAAGTTCATGATGGAGAGACCTACAGAGACAACCAAACCAAACTAGTGGGAATTCATGAGCTTTAGACCAACACCTGTGGAGCCTCCATGGGACTGGACTAGGCCCTCTGCATAAGCGAGACAATTATGTAGCTTGATCTGCTCAAGGGGCTCCCTGGCAATAGGATCAGGATCCATCCCTGGTACATAAGCTGGCTTTTTGGAGCCCACTGCCTATGGTGGGACACCTTGCACAGCCTTGATTCAGGGGGAGGGACTTGTACCTGCCTCTACTGAATGTACCAGGCTCTGCTGACTCCCCATGGGAGGCCATACCTGGTTGGAGGAGGGAATGGGGGTGGGTTGGGGGGGAGGCTGGAGGGGCAGGAGGAGGGAAGAGAGGGGGATCTGTGGTTGGTATGTAAAATGAATAAAAAAAATTCCTTAATAAAAAATTTGACAATGTAAATATCTCAAAAGGACTTTAGACATTTACTTTATGTGTCTGATTACTTTGTCACACTGTATGTTCTACAAGAAGATGAGACAAGTTGCTTGTTGAAGATGCTGAAACAGATTTAGGATCAATATCTGTGAAGGATTGGGACAGGAATGGATTGGGCAAAAGGAGAAGTTGATCCGCCTCAACCAGGCCACCCTGGGCTTGAAGGCTCCCGCTGAAGTGAGGAACACTTCATTTTCTCCCAGCTTCCATCTCGGTCACTGAAGGTGGGCTTTTGGGTGGAGGGAGACACAAGGCAGGGTACTCTCAGGCTAAGGGTGACACAGAATGTACTATCAATCACCTAGCTATGGATCACACTCCCCACAGTTGGTCAGCAAGATCTGTTCTGAAGGATAGGACAAGGCGCCACTATTTCTATTGCACTGCTGTGAACCAGCTTCACCAGACACACCTAGCTGCTTCCATCAAAAGCCATTTCCTGCCAAAGTCATTCAGCATTCCCCAACCACCTTTAAAAACCCAATAAAGTCAGCTCTGAGAGTCTTGCCTTTGGCTTGTCCCCATGTTTATTAAATCTCGTTTCATCAGCCCAAGTTTCCCTCTGGAAAGCCACCGTTAGCTTCTGATCCTTCTCCTAAAACTTCAACTCTCCCTGGCTGGTGATTCCTGTAATAAAGACAGCGACAGCAGCCAAGTCACCCTAGGGTCTGAACTCCTTGTGGAGCCACAAAAATGAAATCCAGGGCGATTTCTGGCTTGCTAGTTAGTTGGACTGTAAGCTCCAGCCAGCATGGGCAAGTGCTTCTGGTTGTTATGTAAACAGCACACTCCACACACCCCTCTTACTGTGGCTGCCCTAGGGGAAGCATCCACAGTGGCCAAGAAGCATGAGAAGGCCTCCTCAGTCAGCCTTCCCCTGGGAGTTTCTTTCCTTCTCTAATGCGATCATCTTTATCGCCCAGCTAGCTATGAGCTGGTGCTGGGCTTCATTGCTGTGGGAATTAAACTGAAGATAATCATTGGTGAGCACATGTGGATTGTGACAGCCTGCTGGAGACTGATGCTGCTTTTGTTCTTCTATCTGAGCATGGCACTGCTCGGGATGGATTACTGATTCCAGACAATTGTCAAGGTCAAGGAAGTCACCAGTAGCTCTAGACTCCAACTCAATACTCCAGCCGGATGCTCAGGCTTAATGAAGACCGGGATACTTTGTCTCTTGATTTGCTCCTAATTCTGATCCTCCCCTCTACAGCTGTGAATCTTTAAACAAATCTCTTCCCTACATGTTTTATTAACTTAAAATTCCATGTCTTGGGGTATGCTGCTCACATCCAGGGGACACTGTTGGTCTTCTATTCACAGCCATGCATCAATTGCCTTCAAGAAAAAAAGTTAAAATTTGGGTCACCTATTGAACGATGCTCAAGTGTTCAAACAATATCCCAGCCAGTGTTTTTAACAAGGGAAAACTCAGCATGAAACTCTGGGTGTGCAGTTGTCCTAGACTGAGACGGTTTCTCTCTGAAAGCCAACCCAGAGTTTGTTTAAAACATACAAGAAGTTGGTTTTGTTTCTTCAAAGACTCATTCAAAAAAGCAAATGGCCATAAAGGAACAAGCACGGGAAGAGGGTGCTTGTGTTCTCCTGGGAGAGACTGACCCCTGCTGGACAGCTTCTACTATGCAGTCACCTTCAGGAATCGGCTTCGAAGATGATAACGCTACCTAACTGTGGTGATACATTGTGTACCCTAATAAAATTTGCCAGATCAGAGGACAGCAAAAGCTAGATTAAACATAGATTAAACATAGAGGCCAGGCAGCAGTGGCACACACCTTTAATCCTAGCACTCAGGAGGCAGAGATCCGTCTGGATCTCCAAGTTCAAGGCCACCCTGGACTACATGAGATCGACTCCGTCTAGTAGAGAAAACAGAGCCAGGCAGTGGTGGCACACACCTTTAATCCCAGTACTGGGAATCTCACACGCCTTTAATCCCAGGAAGTGATGGTTGGGTGGAGAAAGGTATATAAGGCGTGAGGAGACAGGAGCCAAAGGCTTTCAGCAGAAGTGTCCCTTTCAGGAAGAGGCTTTTCCAGGCTGAGGAGTCCTAGAGGTAAGATGTGGCTTGTTCCTTTGTCGCTCTGATCTTCAGGCAAATTTTATTAGGGTACACAATATATCACCACACCTAGTCTTCTGCTTCTGATCTGGAATTTCACTTATCTGGGGAGAAATGCCCCAGAATATGTAGGAGGGATGCCGTAAGCGTGACACACAACGTGTCACCCAGACAGGGGAGACTGAGGAGATGACACTAGAAACGAAGATAAACTAACTACCTACACTAAAACAACAAGATTTCCTTTTGAAGACTATACTTCAAAATGCAGTGACAATTATGGAAATCAAAGTCAGAATATAAGGCAGGGGGCAGGGGACACATATAAGGGAAAGAGAAGCAAACAGAGAGTCGGAAGTTACAGAAAAAGATGCAAAATGTGAATCAGCAGAAAGCCGGACTAAAGCAGACAGTGAAATCTGAGGGAGGAAAAGAGAATCATCTACACAGTAAAAATGACCCCAGGACAGCTGAGCTGAGCTGAGCGATGTGTCTCCTTTAGCTGCCTGGTGGTGAGGGTAGTGTAGAGAGCTCCCCTGGACCTTCCACCAAGAGCAACTATCCTCCATCATGCAAACCACATTTCTGAGGCCATACTACAAAGTGAACGCTTTCCTTTACCAGGGTTCTTAAGGCAATGTGCACCGTGTTCACTGAGGTCACTGTGCCTATGGGGACTAGGAGTTAGAAGGGTCCCCAACAGGCAGACAGAGAGGGACAGGGGCCTCAAATAGAAGAATGGTCACCTTCTAACTTCTTCCTCACACTCTACTGAGACAAAAACCTAAAAAGCTTAAACCAAAAGCCTGGAGTGATTTTTCTTCTTTCAGTAAGACCTGCCTGCCAATGGACTGGTCCCACAAGTACAAGGCTGCGTCGGGGCATGTTTATCCATAAGTGGTGGGTGAGCCTATCCGCTTCCCTGTCTTTGTGGAAAGTGACCAACCTCCCCCCGGGCTCTGCAGAAGGTCTTTATCTCTGTATGCCTTGCTGTGTCTGCCTCCTCATCACTATTAAAGCCTTTCTTACCTGGCTGATTCTGTCTGCTGCATCGAGATTTTCCCTGCTGATATCTGCTGTATCTTTATCTTTCCTGCCTTCTAATTCTTTAACCTGCAGAGAAAACAAACCAGATCAAGACTCCTAACATGTACCATTTTGGTGCCCTCTACTTGGGACTTCTTTCAAGGTCAATATAAACCAAGCCAAGGGGTGCCAAGGTGGCTCAGATGTTAAGGGGACTGGTTAGTCTTCCAGAGGAGTCGGGCTTGATTCCAACACCCACACAGTGGCTCACAACCGTCTGAAGAGCCCAGAGGATTCGTCTCTCTAACAAGGAAGGATGTCTGAGGTACAATGCAGTCAGGGTGGTCACACCGGGCCTCAGCCCTGGCTCCGGAGGAACCCACCTGGAGGAACCCTAGGACAGCAATAAGGGATCTGTACCATGTTCAGCTCACAGCAAGATGGCTTAGTGGGCACTTGCAACCAGCCTGATGGCCTGAGTTCTAATCCCAGGACCTACATCAAGGAAGGAGAGAACTCCTGAAAGTTGTCCTCTGACTTCCACATCCCCTGGGTGGCGCAGACCTGCCCACATACTTACACAAAAAGACACACACACACACACACACACACACACACACACACACACACACACGTACACTGTGAATAAAATAAATTCAGTCAAGTCTGTCTGGGTGTGCTTAAGACTGACAAAACACACTGTCTTCTATCCTTTTTGCATTCTGGGTAGAAATCAGAGGACCACCATTTGCCTCTCAGTTCTTCCAATTATTGAAAGCCCTCTGACCTCTCAGAATTTCTGTTTCCTTTATCCACAAAAATGTGGAGAGTACTTTCCTAGAAAATATGTGAAGATCAAGTGAAATAATGTCTATGAAAACCCAGTAAGTTTTCCAGATATTCTTAAAAGTATTTAATGATAGAAAAACATTCAAAGCAAATTCTCCTTGGGAATATGAGGAGTCAGGGAGGAGCCCTGAAGAACAGAAAACTGAAGGGCAGAGGCCATCAACTGGCACCAGCATGCCCCCTGCTGGGCATTTGAGAAAGCACACCCAGGAGTCCGGGAAGGAGAGAGGATGCATGCAAGTCTCCAACCTGGACTATTAGACATGGCAGGCAAGTTTCCTCAGTGGCTCTCAACACGAATCTACATAACTGTCCTATCCGTTCCACATTTGGACAGGTTGTTTGCGTATTGGTTTCAAGTTGCCATGTGGTCTTCCATTCAATCCACTTGGGAACTAGAAGTGACTCTACAAGAACTGTCGGAAATTGATCAAATGAAATTGCTTCTACATACTATTGCCAAAGCTTTGGGTGTGTCCCCAGACAACCCTCACTAGACCTCACTGGCACTCAAGTGAGCATTTGGCCCTGCAAAGAAGAAGGCATACACACAGACATGGATGAATCAGTCGGTCACCCTATTTATATGTTTTCACAGATATTTGGGATGAGCACTCCCATACATGGCACGGTGAGCTGTTTTCTAATTTAGGATGCTGAAATCCATTTAGAATTAATTTTTGCCCTGGAAGTGATCTCGTGATTTTGTATTTAAAAAAAAAAAAAAAAAAAAAAAAAAAAAAAAACTTGAATAGGCGACTCAGAAAGTTCGTTCCAGTAGGCTGTTGGTTCTGTTTTCATTGCCACAGCACCATGAAGGTGGCTCAGCTCTGACTGTGTCCTTGTCATACCTCAGGATTAGCATGAAGAAAGGATCTTAAGCTAAGCTTGTAGAAGGCACAAGTCCTTGTATGCCCAGATAAGCACTAGGGAAAACAGGAATGTTAAACACTCAGTGGTGTCTCCTCAATGGAAGAAATAAAATACCTGCATTCCACTCAGAAAGCTGGGAGTGGATGCCCTTAATGACCTGGTGACCTTTGCTATCTGTAGAGCCAGACCTTACCCAACCCCCCCAGAATGTCTATCCCAGGCTCTCCCTCCAAAGACCTTTATCTTTAGCTCCCAGTTAATAGAATCTGTCCTTAGAGGAGATGTCACATGCACTTCATGGCCTGCTGACCTCTATGCCATCTCAGTCAGAGACCACACTAGATTCCAGGTCTTTGGGGGTGGGGGGAAGCCATCTTCACAGTCACATGTGCCATAGAGTCATACCTTAAGCTTTATTTTGCACCTGGAATTGGAATGATTGTTACCTGGGAACTTTTTAAAATATGCTTACAACAAACCACCCAGCATCAGACTCCCAAAGTTTAATCCAACCTGGCTGATGAAGTCAAGGTGAACTGAGTTTCCATTCTCACCTCTGTGGATTGCTTTGCTGCCACTGGACGTGACATCTGCACGGACTCCCATATAAACTCTTTTTTTTTTTTTTGCTTAAATCTTTAAGAATTATGATTTTGTATATTTTTGTTGTATTAATGTTAGGATAACAGCACAATGCATTTAAATGATTAACATATGTATACAATTCACAAATTCTTTCATTAATATCAGTGTCTTATCTCTCCCACCCCTCCAAAGTATTTGCAGGGCATAGTAATACAATAAAGAATATGTTGCAATATAAAAAGTAAATAAATAAAAAATAAAATGCCATGTGTGCGCCTGGCAGGTTGGTTGACTATGAGGGATCAGTGAACCCCAAGCTTACAAATGTCACAGGCTAATAACAGAATTGTTGAACTTTTATCCTAAGTAAAACTGTCAAACAGTCAAAATTCATTACAGTAAGTCAATCTACAAGACATCAGAACTCATCTAATCTGTTCCAGTGATATAACAGACATCACACAGCACACATGTCACCTACACAGAGCTCTGAAAAGGTCAATGTCCCATACAAGGCTTTACATCTCTCAACAGAAGTCATGGTGGGCACTGTAGTCACTTAAGAATAGCCTAGAAATGAATTTCTCTTCAGTGCAAAGAAAATCACCAGATGTGATCCCAATACAGTGGTTTGTAAAAATTAAACAATTTGATCTTCACAGTGGCTCAGTGATAGCAAGAGAAGCAGATAACTGTGTTGTTATCAAAATAGTACAAACTTTGCCAAAACGCACATGAAACCCAGGCCCTCCAGAGGCTGTCGCAGGAGAATCTTGAGTTTGAGGCCAGCCTGGGCTACAATGTAATAAGACCCTGTCTCAAAAGTAAAACAAAACAAAAGTCTTTTTACATTTCTTTAATTTAAGAATTAAATTAAATTTAATTAATTAAAGAACTAGAATCTCTTTACATTTACTTACTCTGACAAATGTAAAGGGTGACAGAAATGGTGCTGCTAAAATGCTGCTTAAATGAAGCAGCAAACAGCTCTCCACATCTGTCATGAGGCTAACTCACTGTTAGTGCATGCTTCGGTGACGGGAGGGAGTTACCAGCACAATCCGCTGACCTGACTTTTGAGGGAGTGTTTTCCTGTAAGGCAAAAGTGAACTCATCAGGCCACATTTATTCCATCACTTCCAGTGCTCAACGGGTAAAAAATATCTATATGATCTCCCATTCCACTAATTGTCACAGAATCCAACCCTCAAAGCTCTGGAGATGATGGTTCCCTCCTAACTCAGTGAATAAGCAAAGAGGAAGGAATCCCCCAGGGCATGGTCTTGGTCAAGGAATCATTACTGTTCATCGGCTTCTTAGCTTGACATGTTATTCTTTACCCTGGTTTGTGGTTGAGAGAAAGAGAGCTTCATTAGCCTCAGTGAGACATTTGCTTCCTGGCTTTCCTAACGTCTGCCCTCAGTTGGGAAATGCCACCTACATTCAAAGCATCTCTCCTATAAAATTAACACATCAAGCAATCCATCCATAAAAAGTGGACACCGAAGAAAACCAGGTGCCAAAGTAGTAGAGCCATCTCTTGGGTTTAAAGGCACCTCATGCCATATTCTCAAGAAAGTCATAGACTCCTGGGAGCCAAGCATGCTTACTAAGACTCCCCCACCACTGAGTCCTGTTGCCTACAGCAGAAGCCCAATCTCCACACACACACACAGAGAGAGAGAGAGAGAGAGAGAGAGAGAGAGAGAGAGAGAGAGAGAGAGAACACAGCCTGAGATTAGAGCATCTCAGGTTCCAAACCATAACTTGTCCAATAGCTATGTGACAGTTCTCAGCTCTCAAACCTGTGCTTGTCTCCACCCTTGTCTATTACAAGTATCTGTAGTATGAAGATTGTGGAATTTGGAGGATGCTCAGTACAACGGAGGCTGGGAGGGGAGGAAGGGATGTTACTGGACATGAGCTACAGCCATAGAGCAGGCTAGGATCTCCCCCTCTTCTCCATTAACTCTAGTGGGAGCTATGGGGAGACACTTCTCTTCCAGCTCCACATCTGCTTGTCTACTGAGAAAACACCTTAGACAGATGCAAAGTCAACTGAAGAGAAGTGCCATGGCTCAGAAGGGATGCTGGGTTTCCTTAGGTCACGTGTGTAGCATGGAAGGAAGCATGGCCCCAGCTTCTAGGTGGTTTATTATGCAAGATGGATGACATGAAACAACAGATCCAGTGAGTATTGGAGGATGGGAGCCTCAGCAGTCTTGGTAGAGCAAGAGGGGGAACCAGATTTCTGATGGAGGACTGGGCTATGTGGGAGGCCCTGGAAAGCTTCCAGAATCACTCAGACAGCCTGTCTGTATCGGACTGCCACACTAGAATCTTCTATAGCCAGTCAGGGCTCTGAAAATCAGCAGCAGCCCTCAGAGAGCACACACAGAGCACTAGTTGGTGAAGACAAGGCCTCTTGCAGTCTCCCTCACTCAAAATACCATGCCTAAGAGGCTTGGGATGGGGAAGACAGGACACAGTATTGCAAGGTGAGCACAGCGCCTACTCTGAGAGCTGTAGACCACCCAGGCAACGAGAAAGCAGGGGATTTTGTTTATTTTTTTAAATGTTTTTATTTATTCTTTGAGAATTTCATAGAATGCTTTTTATCATGTTTTCCCCTCCCCAAGTACCGAATTTCATGTTCTTTCTCTCCCTTTAAAAAGCAAAATAAAGCCGGGCGGTGGTGGCGCACGCCTTTAATCCCAGCACTCGGGAGGCAGAGCCAGGCGGATCTCTGTGAGTTCGAGGCCAGCCTGGGC